AATATGTCAACAGCCTTGTTTCAGCTTAATGAGGAGGCTAATTGATATGATCAGAACACATCACAACATATTCATGGATTCACTTTGCGTTGGTTTACTTAGGCAACACTGAAGTGGTGTTGCATCGGTTGGTTGGCATCAGCTGCCTCATTGGTGCTCAGTATTATTGGCTGATTTATGCATCACCTGCTTAACTACCAGCTGAATAGTAACATCCAATCACATTCATGCTCATGTGTGCTTAATTGAGCTTTATGAACTGTTAGTTCTCAGTGCTACTTTGCTAATTTTCCTCATGCAACACTGCTAACTGCTGCAGCTCCCTTCACCACCCCAAAATACTCTTTACCAAAGCTTTGACAATATTGACTTAGATCTAATGTTCAAGTATGTTTACAGAAAGCTTTCATTGTATACTATAATTTGTTGGGGGGGGGGGGGGGGGTCGCTTCTCTCAGCAAAACCCTTGTTGCTGTTTGGATTCTTTGATTATCTCCTCAAAAGCATAGTCCTTTTCACCACATCCAAGTGCATAAGCATTTGTGATTGGTCAATATCTTGAAATGAGTCTCTCTGACTAAAGTATAATTTGAGTCCCTCAAATGTATATTAACATAGCTGCACTTAGATTTAGTGCCACCTGGACTTGCTACATTAAAATAGTTTACAGGTGCAGTAAACAGATAAAGAAATTTAATTAAATGTACTACTCTTTGTAATGAGTGCTTTTACTTTTCTTACTTCACTTTAAAAAATGAGAGAGAGACTATTCTCACCAAATGCGACTTTCTCGCTATGTCACCTTCTGTGCTGTTTGTTTTTAACTCTAATAAAATCTTAATATAATGTTTTCAGTACCCAGCTGGAGTCGTCAGAAAGTGATAGAGGAGGACAATTTCCATGTAAGATGCCTTCCCAAAGTAATGAAACTGCTAAAATAAAGGAAGCTGTAGATGGAGGCTGTAATGAAGTTTGACAAACTTTGGCTTTTTATAATAACCCTGTTACTCAAACGGACAACCTGAAGATTTGCTCTCAAGCTCTAAAGCTCTGAAGGCTGACCCTCTTATAATCACACAAAAGCACTTTCCATCACTGCAGTTGTTAGGTGTTTTTTTTTTTTCCTTGTGCAGTTAGTGTGGTATTGATCATTGTTGGTCCAAGTCCTCAGGAATCAGCTTGTATTGATTTCACTTCAGTTGTAAGCCTCTCTTTCTGACCTATGTCTCTCTTCAGACCAAGCACCTTTTCAAACGCCCAAACATCTCTGCTGAGGGTTGACTAAAACATATCATTACTGCAGCACTTTCCAAGAAAATTTCCAAAATCAGTTGTGCTTGGATCCAAAAAGCAGGACAGACCATTATAGCTCTTTTCAGCCATTAGCTGTTGGAGACAAAATTTGCTATGGCCTCAAACACTTGAGTTGCAGAGGAAAGATGTACGCTCTGTTGGGTTGTTATATTGAGGACACATGTAGTTTTACTTTTAGAGGGATAATATGCTCCTTCATTTGGACCTTCATTATCATTCATAAAAAGAACCCACTTATAGCCAGAAGATTCAGCAGTAATGATGGTTATTAATAGGTGCAATGCAGCCAGAGTCAATACTGTGTGTGTATGTGAGATATTAAGTAACACGTATTTGTCTGTGTTTGTAATTATGTGTGTGCGAAATGATCAGACCTCCATTACTTAGAGGGTAGTTTGAGAATTCATTTCAAGATCTTAAAGACTGCTTTTAATGCAGGCATTACATTGCACAATGTTTAATCCCAACAAAGTCGAGCACAGTTTTTCCTTCTTCGTTCTCAACCTTCCCCTCTTCTGACTGTATGCATGTGAAACCTCATAGTTTTCCAAAGCAAAACTCTGAAAGTTGTGTTTTTACTCCTTTGGCTAAAGGAGATTTCTGACCATCACCCTTGACACTCTGGGCTGCACACAACAACCTGTGATTAGCTCAAGAAATAACATGAAGGGTGGAGGTCGGTAGTGTAATATTAAACTAGATCAATAGAGCACTTTGTGTGCCACCTATATTATTAATAATCCACATAATTTAGCTCTTTTGTCCCTTCACCTACAAATAAGATTAGATTTCCCTTTAACCAAATTTTGCAGTTTTGTATTTTTAAAGTGTCTTGTCATCAGATATCATGTCCAGGACTTTGGTTGAGGTTTCACAGCATGAGTTGCTTTCAGTGTCAGTGTGAAATGTATTAGTCAGAAAGATACAGTACATTCTATCATTCTGTCCACAGCTTGTTGCTGCATTTGAAACCTTGAAGCTTCAGTAAGAGGAATTGATTGAGTTGTTGAAGTTCAGTGCTCTTGGGTACAAAACCCAGATGAACTATCAGTGAGCTTTATACCTTCAAATAGCTGTCCTGGCGACACCTCGGCAGTGAATCAATAGATAATAGTTAATTTCAAGCACCATCCAGATGCTTCACAGTAGCTCATATGTGTGCCCTTACATGTAACTGAGGTAATCAGCAATAAAAATGTCCATTTCTGTGAATACTTTAAATGCAAATTTGAAATCTGTAAGAAAAAAAAAATTGGCCATTCAGAAACTTTGATTTAAATGCAGAACAATACTATGTCATGTCATGTCATGTCATGTCATGTCATGGATAGAAAAGAATTACAGGGTATTTCTGCTGCACCATAAAAAGTAGAGTTGAAGTCCACAGAGTACAAATGGCCTCTGCAGCTGGTCTTATTTTTCTGCTAGTAAGATAAAGTTTGATAACACAGCCTTTATACACTCTGAAAGGGTCTGGGTTAGAGTAATCCTGCACACGACAGACTTATGACCCTGAGGTCTAAGTCAGAGACTGGAAAGTCCTGGAGCAGCTGGCCATCTATTGGGTTACAGCCTCCCCCATCCCTGTGGGGATGAAGCAGGATGGAGTCTGAGGTGTCCTTAGGTGACATCAGCAGGGCTAAAGAGGACGCTGTATTTCACTCAGGAAGGGACACTGAATTTCCCCCCTCAACACTTGAGGCCTCCAAAGAGACGTAAACAGGAAGATGGATGTTGGCAGCCGGTGTGGTGCAGTTGTCTGAATTGATATCCGTTGCTGTTAAGGTGCAATTTCAAAGGTGTAGACAAACAGGGTGGGGGGGTGGGGGGTGGGGGGGGTTGAGTTCAAGTCAAGGTGGTTTGGTGTATATAACATGAAGGTCAAAGGAAAAAGGCAGGCTGTTTTTGAAGTTTCATTGTCTCATACACTGCGTGTCCACTCTCTTGTCTTGGTTAAATGTTGTCACTTACATGGCAAGTTCAACTGATGGCAAAAACAAAATTAACAAATGATCTCCCCGAAGAATCACCTTAATGTACATCATCGCCCTTATCCAAACCTCACCTACAGTGTCAAAGAAAGTGTCCAGCTGTGATGGATTGACAGCAAGGATATTACTTGTCAGGGCTGAGTGTTATTTAGCGGTTTGACTGAATTTAATAAGGCGCCTTTCAGAAACAGTTAAACCAGTGTGAGGAACCAGAGGGTGACGACGAGAAGGTACTGATGTTTCCTGCTTGAGTAACGTGATTTTGTTGTTAGCACAAATATGGTAATAAAGAAAAGAACAATTTGTTTTCTACATCAAAATGAGAATTCTATCTCCTCAGTGTTTAAATTTAACTGTAGAGCCAAATAGGGGAATTAATCGTGACAAAATGTGCCAAAAAAATGGTTCCAGCTGCAACAAAAAACCTCTATGACATGTATTACATGCAAATGTTTGATTATTTAATTTGTACTGATGGCAGTAACCGCACATGGCAAAATACAGTGTGAAAGTGATATAATCAGCTGCATGGAGGGAGTCAATGTTGTGTGTCTACAAACTATGTGACCCAGTGGAAGCATCAAGAGAGGAACAAGCCTGAGTCTCAGAAATGGCCCCTGTCATGCACCTTGTGTAATATGAAGAGCAGGGAATGAATAAGGAGTTTTCAGGTTGAGTGTCCTGGTAGCACAGTGGTTTAGATGCATCATATAACTGCAATGTCACCTGGTTTGATCCTGGCTGGGGAGTTTTATAGTCCCTCTCTCTCCTCCACCATCTTTTCTGTTTATATTCTTCTGTTACTAATAAAATAAAAACGAAATACTTACTACTAAAACAGAATCTTGAACAGGAGTTTGTGAGCACCTGAGTGTTTATGATCTAGGGATTGGAATGGATGTAGAAATTGAAAGAAAAAATATTTCCTGTAAAGAATTCCTCTGTTGATAAATGCTTGTGTTTAACTATTTTCGTTTGTAGTAACTGTGTTTGCATTTAGCTTTAAGACCTCGGGACAAACACTCTAATGGCTGATGACAAACAGGCGTACCCGAGATGCTCTCTGCTGCACCTCGGGGGAACTGTTAAAGGCTGAAGGTGCTCCATAGTTGCATCAGCTTGCTATAAATAGGGTGGTGGAAAATTAACAAACTCCCTTAATGGTTTAGTGGGTGCCCTAATGTATTGCAGCTGTGAAAGGTGTCTGAGGCAATAGTAGAGAATGTTTTTGTAAATTTTCTTACAATATTCTTCCACCAAGTCAGCCACAAAAAAGCAACATTTTACTCACTACAATGACCATAGGTTCTGTAGTTTAAATCCATCCAATATACTGGTGTACATACTCTCTAGTGCACCAAATAGTCCCCAACAAATACAAGTAAGCAATGTTTGTTACACTGCCTAGCTGTTAAAGGAAATTTCTTTAACCCACTAATGTGACCCATATAGAAAGATCTGCATCTTCAGTAGGATCAGCCGGGCTTGGAGAAGAATACCACAGACAGGAGAGTGAAGTCTGAGAGAAGAGCTAACTCTTTGTTGGTTTTGTTTGTGTTGACACTAAGAAATATGTACAATAAACCAGCTTTGTCTTTCTAAGTTAACGCGGCAAACAGTAATAAATCTTCCATTATGTTTTATTGATAATGAGCTTCCTCCTGACTGGCATGTTGGTTTCTGCTCTCTCCTCAGTGAACCCAGATGTGACGGGTGATCACAAACATCATCATCATTATCATCATCATCCACCTGTCGAGGATTCAGAAGTGGAGGGCAGATCCAGGGGCCTTGGACTGACAGGAGCCATCTGGGTCTTGATATTGCCTTGTTTACATATGCTCCTGGCCTTGTAACAGCTGCCTTTTTGCAGCATGAAACTGTCAAGACTTGATTCCAAGCTTATTTATCCAGAAACGAAAGGGCAAGTGGACGTAACATGCTCCGGCATGAAATGGAGCACCACTTCCACAAAGTGCAGAAGCGAATTCATCGTGAGGAAATGACAAGACACTGTGGCTTCTGTAAGACAGCACATGGTTCAGCTTTGCAAATATTAACTGATTATTTTTTTTTATCAGTTACCTGGCATTCATTAACACTAATAATGACTTACTTACAACAGCAGGATTTCACAAATAACTCCAGCACACTTTGTAAAAAATTGGTATTGATTTAATTGTATTTCTGCACATAATATATGTCATCTGTAGATATATGCATAAGCATTTGTTTGCTTTTGCATATCACTCTTTAATGCACTCTACACAGCACAGGTTGTACTTTTCTTAAATGGGGTTTTACAACTGCTGTGAAAGGAGTAAAATAACCGGAAAGGTTAATTTTGGTGTTGGATTTGAAATTGAAAAATAAACTGTCTCCACAGCTCCTGCATTTTCAATATTTGTACAAGCCCAAATTCAAATAGCCTGTTATTCTTATACAATCTTAGGAATCCCTTCTGTGTACAAACCATAATTTTTACAGTCATTTTTATACAGAACTGCTTCAGATTGTGTGTCAGATATTGTAGATAACCTGTAGAAAACAGTAAGCTATCAGATGTGTACTGTTTGTTTTTGTGCATTTTTGAATAGTGTAGGAACAGAAGAGAATTTGAGACATCTGCTTATCTTCACTTGTAATAACTACCATGCTGTCCAGAGCATGTTTAATTGGTACATTTCAATTGCAAAATTAACCTATAATGCTAATGCTGAGAGCCACAGTGAAGGGGGGGGGGGGGGTAGCAGCAGAAGTAGGGGGGGCAAGTGAGCAAATTCATATTCCTTTCTTCTTTAGAAATAGATTAGTTTCCTCGGGAGTCTATTATCATCTTTCAAACTCAATCCTCCTCTGCCTTCATAGGCCTGGATGGGAGCTGATAGCTCCTGGAGCCACTGGTGAGGAAGAGTCCAATTGGTTCTACCTACTACCTTACTGCATACTGCTGGTGTGTTGCTGGCAGGTTTTCTGTGCAGAAAAAAAGGAAAATGATTTGTTTCACATATGCCATGCATGTCTGGCCAGTTTCTGAGAGAGAGAGAGAGAGAGAGAGAGAGAGAGAGAGAGAGAGATATTCAGTGGCAGCGTACATTGGTTCTTTGGCTCAGATATGTCAGGAAACTACTTGTAGAGCTGAAGAAATGATCTTTTGAGATTCTGTAGACACTAAAATGGTACTCTTCATAGCCAGTTTTCACTATTCATATACAAGGAAATCATTAAAGCTGCTACTGTAAATAGATCACATTGTGAAAAATAACTGAGACATTCAATGGTTGCTCCGGACTAACCCTTTTCTTTCTATATGGGTTCAGATGTACAGAAATATTTGTGCCACCTCATAGTGAAATAACAGTAAAAGTTGTAATGATGTAAACATTATTACTTCGATGAGATGACCTTAATTTATGAAGTTCTATTTCAATTAATTTATACTTATAAATATTTGTGTGACCCATGACCATTTATTATCCTGCCCATCTTAATGTAGAACTGAACAATGCAAAGTGCAAATTGGATTTCATCTTCAACTTCACTCTAATTTTTTATTTTTTTTTGCTGCAGCTTTTTATTTTCCAGCCAAAGGTACAATCTCCTCAGGTACTCAGTTTGATCAGATATGATCATATTTTAAAAGCCTGCGACCTTCCTCATGCTGCAGTTGTCCTAAAGCATGCATAGTAATTGTTGTCATTAGTCATTTTCACCGTTAATGCACCAGGTTATACTTTTATCATGATATAGTCAAGGCTGTTTGAGCATCTGAACCACTCGAGTAGCTCGGAGCTTCTTCAACTACATCTCAAGGTTTAGAAATGATAACTTTGAGATTAATTATACACCTTATTTCTTACCCTACTTTCACTTTAATGTCTCGTAGCCTATATGAGGCTTTTGTCGACCTTAACCAATTATATCATGAGTTGGCACCATCAAAGTCTGGAGCTATTGTCATTTGAACAACCGTGTTAATGAGACTATTAGAGAATAGTGTTCAGTGTCTAACTAGATAACAGGCAGCCCTGCAGAGACAGAGGTGCCTTGAGGCTAAACGTGGATGTCAGGTTATGCAGGTTCTCCTGTACTTAAAGAAAAGGTTCAATTTGATGTCTTATGTGATCATTATAGCTACATATTGAGACGGTTATCCAGAGGAGGGAGGAAAGGGGCCAAATTCTGATGCCAGTGTCAATGAAAGAGCACTCATACAGACAGGTGTCATCCTGCAGGCATTGCAACGTAAGAGACGCTCTTGAATAACATGTTTACTGTCTAACATTCAGTTTGGAGAGTGAATGTGTCATTTGAAAAAGAAATTCCTGTGATACATGCATCACATACGTGTGATAAATACATTTTTTTTTTTTTTTACAATGGTCTTTAAAGGAAAACTACTTTTTTATTACAACTTCATCCCTCTATAGATTGGATTGTCTGTTAAATCTGTCGTAACACTGTACTCACCAAAGTAATTGCTGGGATCTTGGAACATAACAAAACAGTTAAAAATAGGTCATACAGACACAAGCAGTCTAACGATCAGACAGGTTTTAAACAAACCCCCAGGATAATAAAAATTTGTTTGGAGCAGAAAATGAAAGCGAACAGTAAAATGATGATCCAAAGTGTTTACTGTAGACAGTTGACAGACTAAGCTCCTGGTTCCAGTCTATTCTACTTGCTGTAGTTGGATGCGTTAACTATTTGCCTTTCCAATGATTATTTGCATCATTAGTGACTTTTCAGTGTTGCCTCCAAATAAAGTGTTGGCTTGTCTACAACCTGCCTTTTCTTTTCTTTTTTTGTTTTTTTGCCCGACCTATTTTTTTAGCGAATGCACTATATTCTGAGATCTCAGCAATTATTAACATGAATACAATGTTATGAAAACTGATAAAAGTAATAGTGAAAACTATGACTTAACTATGACTTAACAACAACAACAACAACAACTTTGTTTGTATTAGTTTATTCATGAGACTGTTTATTGTATTCATGTAGCCCAAGTCTATGCAGTAACTCAGCTGTCCTGAGGCTTTGGGTGGCTCATCCATCCTTTTAGTCTCACTTGCCCCTGGTTAATCTCACTGTGGCTTCAAATGGCAAGCATAGCAGCCAAACCATCCTTTTGCAGGACAACACCCCTCTTCTGACCTGCTGGGACATGTAATCCAGGGTTTCATGTTTTCTTTTGGCTTTAAATTAATTTCTTCCACAGTATAAATCACTGCTTTTCCTTAGAAACTACAAGTCCTGGCTACAGAAAATGGTGTATATTTCTTTTTTTGCCAATTCATTAATATATGTTAGATGACATGTTAATACTTTTTTAAATAAGATAATAAAAATAAAGATTATATAAAATAAAGATGATATTTGTCCCGCTTTTTTTCAACATGATTCAAGGTAGGCAACATGTGCAATGGCATAGAAGGAGGAGAGACACGTGAAATAATTGTGGTCGGGATATTCTCCCATTGGTTTTGGTGGTTTGAGCAGCACCATCTGAGATCCGCTCACTCCACCACCCTGTGTCCATTATCTCACCCTTTGTTCAGTCAATCCCACAGGTGAGAGCTGGAGCAAGGGCTCAGCATCAAATGGAGATCTTTGATTTACAGCTCAGCTCCGTCCTCCCATTCAATTTTCAGCCAGTGTCTGTATCTTTAAGTTGGTCTCGCAATCCTTTAGAAAAGTCACCTTTATATGCCTTTATACAGTTGAATAAGACTGCAACATACTTAAAGTCCTCCACTTTGGGCAGCTGCACCCCCACTCAGCTGGTCTGAAGTCTGCCATTTAGAGTTTAGACTCTCCAGACTCTCTGCCTTTCGTCCATAGGATGTGTCTGTTAAACGTCGTTTTTCTACTTACTGCATCATCTACCCCTCCAAGTGGCTAGATGTATTCATGGACACCTAACAGTCAGTGCCTCATTACTGCAGAGATGCTGCCTGAGTGATTTCAGTAACTACCAAACAATTGTGCATATAACAGCCCTGATGCTTGTGGTTCCAACCACTGGTTTTACAACGGCTGTGAACTATCATCTAAACTACAATTTTTAGGAACACCAAAATTACTTGTCGTGGTTCGTTCACTATGACAACTGCACTTAGGCAATGACATGAGAGTACACCCCTGTGTGATCTCTGTAGAGGAAGATATATTTGAAACATATTTGAATGAATGAAACACTGACTTTTGGTAATTACTCTTTATTCCTCACATTTAGTGACTGTCCAGAAGTTGTTGGTCAAAGTATATGGTACATTATTCTTGTTAAGTTAACTGTTCAATTAGTTCCTTTATCTTATCTTATATTTGTGGAAACAGCCCACAAGCCAAAGAAGACCATCAGACATGCATGAAAGTCACATTTGGCTCTGGCTGGGAAATGTTTGTTATCTCAGAACATAATAGAAATACAAATAATTCTTTAAAGGCCTATTTAGAGATTGGAGTGACTATCAATATTGTTTGGGCACTGTTTTACTTACCAATGGCCTCTAAAAGGTCACCTAATTAAGTCCTGGATAATATCAATGTGAAGTAGTTTTCAAAGGATTGAAGTCAAACTACATCATCAAATCAAAATGATTTCATGCTTAATTTTGGACAGGTGTTCAAAGTGCAGGGATTCTTTGTAGAAACTCTGCCTTTGGCATTTTTCATTACTGTTAATTGGGAGTTGGACAGTAATAGGAGAGTGTTCACTTCCCACACAGAGACCAAGAAATGGTGATATTAATGAACTGCATTTTAAAAGAGGTGAAGACGGGTATTTTGAATAGCTCTCATTGCAGTATTTTCTTTGTGCTGGACTCAGCCCAATTACAATACACTTTGGTGTCTTCAAAATTACTCCAGAGGTAAAGCCTCAGATAGTATGAACCATTGTCTTTGGAGTCTTTTATCTCTGCATACTGAAGGAGGACTCCTGGGACCTTCTAAGGAGAATAGTGCTGAGCACCGCTTAAACTTATACAGAGATTAATTTCATATTCCCATCAAGGTTTCTGTTTCACTCAAAATTATTACTGTGACCTTGACAACGGCTAACGTTTAGCCTCAGCTCAGACGGGAGCTTTAATCATCACAGTGCAGACACAGACAAGGCTTTGTATCATTCTTCAAGTTGTTCATGGTAAAACCAATGTTTTCAAAAGCTTAGCTCTGAACACAGGACATGCCTTTGAATGTGTCAAGGAGATACATTGTTGTGAAAGAGGAGTGAGTTCATTGTTAACTAAAGAAGGCTTATTGCTGCAGTAACACTGCATTTTCTGAACAAGTTGTACGTGCCTGATGACCAAATTGTGTTGACAGCAAATGTATACAAATTTAGATTAATGTAATGCATTTTGTCATTTATCCCTTGGATTTCTACATTTCCCCATCCAGCCAGTGGGTCTGCTGGTTCACCACTTTGGTCCAGACTGAAATTTTTCAACAAGTTTTTGATAGATTGGCATGAAATTTAGTATAGATGTTCGTGGTCCCCAGATGATGTATTATACTGACTTTGGTGATCCAGTGTCTTTTCCTTTAGGGTCACCATAAGATTAATATTTGTGGTTTTGAGTGAAATATCTGGACAACAATTTGACTATATGGTGATCTCTTAACTTTCCACCAAGCACCATTGTCAAGTTTATGATCAAATACCTGCAAAACTAATAGCATTCCTTATCCTCAGCTTAGTCTTCTGTAT